ATACATTACATTACATTACATTACATTACATTACATTACATTACATTACATTACATTACATTACATTATTACATTACATTACATTACATTACATTACATTACATTACATTACATTACATTACATTACATTACATTACATTACATTACATTACATTACATTACATTACATTACATTACATTACATTACATTACATTACATTACATTACATTACATTACATTACATTACATTACATTACATTACATTACATTACATTACATTACATTACATTACATTACATTACATTACATTACATTACATTACATTACATTACATTACATTACATTACATTACCTTTACTTACCTTATTACATTACATTACATTACATTACATACATACATTACATACATTACCATTACATTACATTACATTACATTACATACATACATTACATTACATTACATTACATTACATTACATTACATACATACATACATACATACATTACATTACATTACATTACATTACATTACATTACATTACATTACATTACATTACATTACATTACATTACATTACATTACATTACATTACATTACATTACATTACATTACATTACATTACATTACATTACATTACATACATACATACATACATACACACACAGACACACACAGACACAGACGCGCACACACAAACACACAAGAGGAGACACACACAGACACAGACACAGAAACAGACGCAGACAAAGACACACACACACACGCACACACGCACACACAGAGAAACAGACACACACACACAGACACAGACACAGACACAGACACAGACAGACAGACAAACAGATAAACAGACACACACAAGTACAGAACACACACACACACACACCACGTCGATGTGACCAGCATCCCTCTGGCAAGCAATTCCTGCCTTGGCTGACATCCTCTTCCTCTTCTTCCTTCGCCTTCCCAACCTTTCAAGGGGATGCGCTTAAGTGGGTTTGTCTCAGAATCGGGGAAGACCAAAATGGGTGGTTCCTCTTGGTTGCCCGTAGAATGAACCTCAAAAAGGGTATCCTCCAAAAGGCCACACTCAAGTCAAGAATCTGCAAACACCTGGACGTCATGCGCCACTGGCAGCCATGAATCCGATTGACAGGTATGCAAGACACCGACCCATTTGTTATCGTGGCTTTCCTGAGAGCAATCTGCTCGCCTGTTGGACTTTGCCAACTCTCACTCAAATATCTCAATCGCACGATAGCGATGGCGAGACAGGTGAAACTGGACATCCTCAAGCATCAGCTGCCTTCAAGTGTTTCCAAAGGCGGCAAGTCGGCGAGGGGATCGTCCTCCGGATTTTTCGCATCAGGAAGCACATCCTTCCCGTCGGGTTCCCGCTCTTGAGTCTCAGCGGGAGTCTGCAATTGGGAAGCCGAGTGCCTCGGTCGCATCTGGGCCAAGGGTTCAAACCCGAATCCAAGAACCACTTGGAATTTGAATCGGTTGCGCGGGCACCCGTCAAGCGCCAATCCGTCTGAGACAAGCTGCTCCGGCGCTGGCCAGGCCTCTGCTCCCTCCAGTAGCTTGCAGACTAGACCTGCTTGAGCGTGCAGGTTCACATCCGCACGATGCTCTTCCTGGGACAAAAAGGAAGCTGCGAATAGCAGAGAGGCAGGAAAGGAACATAACAGGTATCAGGGGAACCTCCGTACAGCTCTGGTCACTTCGAACTTTGTCCTGCAGCTCTGACTGCCACTTCTCTGTGGCACCGTCATGCTCGTAATCCAGCACCGCCTTCAGGCCAGCCAAGAAGTCCTTTCGCTGGCTGGGAACTGCCACGGCCTATGCAGTCCAGCTACATGCCTAGGCTGCCTATTGCCATGGCCGGGCATGAGATGAATAAAACATTATGCGCTGCTTGTATCAGTCCCTCATTGCATCATACTCAGCTCAACTAAGTGAGATGTGCCCAATGCCTTGCAGTCGAGTCGGGCTTGGTGCAGAATCCTTAACCGCCACACGATTGCCCGTGATACGTTGAGACGCGAGCAACACCAACTACACTGATTCTGGGTGGACTACGCGCGCAATGCTCTCAAATAATGAGGCAATGGACATATACTGGTGCTAGCATTGTTTAACCCTTGCTTCACCAAACAGATAGATACCTGGGAATTCACAATGCCGAGTACTTGAGATGGGGACAGGAAGTAGAATCCTATATTACATATGCGCGAACCACATGGCCACGCCAAAGTGGCCAGCCGCCCGCGTTCCTACTGTTGCTTGCCAGGTTCACAGTTCCTACTGATCGTCCTCAGCCCATTGATCCATCGCGAAGCCGACCGCGTGAGAGCGGAAGGGGTTCCAGACCTGCTTGGCAATATCTGCCATGCCAAGAAGGACGAGGTCCATAATGATGAAAAGTCCTCTGCTGCTTCGGTGTGACAGATTTTTGTTGGGAACTCTGCCAGCAAAAAAAACGAATCGCTTGAAACCCACAGAACGTTCACCGGCTCATTGTGCTTCAGCCACGGTGCCTGGTGCCAAACAGGACTCGCTGAGAGCCATGCCATAGGCCAGTAAGAGCAAGTTCATGAACACCGTGATGCCTTGGATGGGAGCTCACAGCGGCGACTCCCTTCATAGTACCCTGAAACCCACCCAATTTGACAAACATTCGAGTTCTTGGAAAAGCTCAGGGTTATATGGGGCAGCTTGAGAAACTGTTTAGGGTTGCGCTGACGCGGGTCGCTGCGGGAGGCCAATAGCTGTAAAGTGGGCGCAGCCTGCTTTTGTGCATGATTGCTTGCTGCACCCCCTGAAAGGTGGTGATCAGCTCAGATACTCAGAAGGTGCTGATAGCAGAAGGGCACCTCCAACTTCACAACGTCCAAGAGCTCTTGGTGACACTCCTGATGCTTATCAACGCTGACTTCCACTGGAACAGGCTGAAATGTGGTCTCTTCTACTACCATTGACAGACCCGTTTTAACATCACCCAAAGCCCCGTGACTTAGATGGTGCTACACAGGTTAAAGCCCTTAGTGCAACCCCCATTAAACCAGTTGTAGACCTCCCAGAGGTGTTCACGCACATTTTGGTCAAACCCCAAAACGAGCCTTTTCGGTTTCCCCAAAACGAGCCAAACCCCGCGCGACACAAAGGCCGCGGCCGCGTCGCCTTGTAGCTCATGATGCCCTGCAGCACCTCCAGCAGCTCATCCCCCTCCAGCGCCGTCTTCGTGAGCTCCGCCGCCATGTGAGCGATGGCCAAAAGCCGCTGGCGCCCGCTCATGCCGCGGAAGAAGTCCACCTGATGGCTCCGAAGACATGGCTGGAGCTCCATATAAAATGGCGGGTGGGATCGGTTGGATCTCCAACTGGCTGGTATCCTGGTGTCCTTTGCGAGTTCCCTTTTGAAACTGTTCGGGATCCCTTGGGTGTGACATAGCCACTGGCACGCAGGGTGGCGCTTGTTTCAGCTGGCTCGGAGTTGCTTGTGCTGCATGCCCTGCCTCACTGCGTAAGACCAGCTGGTGCGTCGTAAACTTCCGCCATCTCTCATCGTCCTTAGCAAGATCAACATCCTCCCTCTCTAAGATCAACTCAAATTCTCGCGTTTCAACTCAGAAGTCGCTTTCAAAACCGACTGTGACTCACTTTTGCCGCTGCGTCGAGCTCTCCGTGCCGCAGCTCTGCCAAGGACAGCAGCGTGCAAGCGCCCAGCCAACGGCTGGCAAGGCGGTCGTAGGGCTTCTCACCCCGCAAGAAGAGACGCGCCTAGAGTTGCGCGTGCAAGCTGAAAGCAGAACACGCGCGGGTGGCTGTTGTGGAAGTTGTTGAGCTCATGATGATTTATTTACTGTTGGTTTGGGCATAGTTGGACAAGGACAAATGAAAGCCCTGATATTTGCTCCCCAGCCTGATAGGCAAAGTCATGCACAGACGCAAAGACTCTGTGCAAGAGAAAGCAAATGTGCTGGTATCTCGTAAAGCACTGATTGACATAGAACGCCATGAAGAAGGTCGTCATTACTGTAAGCATCTTGAGGTCGATCCAGTCCACGCTTACTGCCGCAGCTTCATACTTCACTTGGAACCAGCCTGATTGGTAGCCACCCCAGGTCAACAAATGCACGCCCAGCATAAACCTCGGCTCGCGTGGCAGACTTCAAAGGAATGGGCGGGACAGTTCTTGGTGTTGGCAGGCAGGTCTAAAGCACTGAAATTCCATCACAATGAAAGCCTTCCCACTGCTTCCAGGAAGCCAGAATTCAGTTTGAGCCAGGACTTCTGGGAAAATGGAGATCGACAGGTGCAATACAGCATGAAGTACGCCTCCTTTATGCGGAGCATCCGGCAATGAAGACATGGAAACTAGAACCACGATCTAAGTGAAAGCATGCACTCGTCAAACGACCTTGAAACCCTCAAACACTTGTGCACTTTGGAGATGCGAGCATGTATCTGTGTTGAGCCAATGGCTGGCGAGGCCGCGTGCTCATTTCTCACTTTGCATAAAATGTGGATTTGAGCTTCTTATATCTAGCTTTCCGGCAAACCGGCAGTGACCGAAAGTTGGAATGACTATTTATGATCGGAAGAAACAACTTGAAAGACTCCTTTGCTTCTGCCATGCTCTGCGCCCACTTCGATCCGTGAAGGCTGCCAGATTGCCGTTTCTAGGCGTAGATCATGCGCTGCACGTGCTATCCTGCAACATGCCGCGTACTTCGCACGCCTCCGGCAAATCAGCGCGCTCGCGAGCTTGCCTGACATTGGCGGCGTCAAGGCCCTAGGCCCCTCTAACTCCGGCCTCTCTGGCCGACGGCAAAAGGAAAGTTCAAACTGCATCGCATGGATTGAAACACGAACGTCAATCAGTTCAGAAATCTCGGCTTTCGCCAAATCGGGCGTGGCCCACACGCGCCAGTCCAGGATGTCCTTCAGCTTCAGCTTCATCTGCGGTCTCAAGCATAGGCGGGTTTCCTTTTTGTTTGCTCCCCAAGGTAATTGGTC